CTTCATCTACTACATCATTTGATTGAAGACGATTCATTAGTCCTGAAGCAGAGGAGCGCTACAAACAAAGTGTAATACATCATAATTGCATTCCTGAGAGGAGCCTTGAAAATTTTTTTGCCCGAGAAAATACACAGTTTGGAATGGGAGAAGTTTATCAAGCAACCTCCAGCTGCATCCATTCCTTTGGTGAAAGAAATTTATGCCAATGCCAATGAACACGAGAACTTCGAAGTTTTTATCCAGGGTTGTTGGGTCAAGTTTAACAATGCTTCAATTAACAGGTTCTACCACACGTAGATATACCTAATGATGTCTACTCCCGAATGCGTGACGAGGGGGTCGATCCTGATGTGATAATTCGCACTATAGCTCGTCCCGATACTGAATGGAAAAGATCAGCTAGTGATTTAACTCACTTCCCTGGCTTTAATCTGATGCCTAACTATAAAATTTGGCACCACTTCATATCAGTAAAAATGATCCCCAGTAGCAACACCAGCGAGGTCACAAAGGAACAGGCTTTATTGAATTTTGCTATTCAGAAGGGGTATCCGATTGATGTTGGCAAAGTCATTCAAAACAGCATTCTTCGTATCCTAGTAGGGCCAGCTACAGGCAGTTTGGGTTACCCCTCTTTGATCCATGACCTTTGCATACACGGGGGTGTTCCCGCGCGAGAAACTATCGAAGTGTTGCACCTGAAACAACCACTTATACGGGACATCCGTGATAGGCGTATGGGACATTGGGACGTGTCTGGCTCTTCTCAGTCATCTCGTCCATCCTCGCCTACACCACCGCCTCCACAACCTTTTGATGCTACGGGGGACATCCTTCGGTGTCTTGAAGCCATGGATTTGCGAATGACCCGATGGCATGCAAGTACAAATGAATCATCTACAATCTACCATCTTTGACCAGTTTCAGTATCAGAAAGCTTGCATGGTGGTCATGGCATCTGCACACCCCTAGCTCACCTTCCCTTCACCACCATTGTTTTTACCTCATTCACACCCTCCCACTCAACTTGATGGTGATGAAGACAGTTGATGTCTTCCCTAAGGTATTATTCTTCCCCTTCTTTCATTTTCACATTGAGGGCAATGTGTTGTTTAAGTTTGGGAGTCTTACTTTAACTTAGTTATGTCGAGCATTTTCTTTATTGCTTTTGTTGTGTTGCATTCGTGTTCCAAGTATGTTGTGTGTGTTAATTTGCTTTGTGTGAAAATAAAAATTTTATATATATATATATATATATATATATTTCAAATTTGCACTATTTTATTTTGCATGCTTGTATAAGTTGGATAATATTGTTAGCAATGATGAATATATTTGGAATGTGGATCAATTTTGGATTATGGATGAGTCAGTTGCCCGAATTTAAATGTTACTGACCCTTGCAGATTATTGTGACATTTATGCACGTGAATTGAATATAGTGGCGAACAAGAGTGAGTTGATTCATGATTAGATTTAGGTTGAAGTAATGACCCTAGAAACTGAATCCAAACAGCCACTTGTATAACAGTATTCACATCCCTTAACCTACCTTTAGATAGTTTGGATGGGCAAACTGTTGAAGGAAAGCATGGATGTGGGTGTGGATTCCTTGTGTGCGAAATTCTATGTGGACTGTCTGAGACCAATGGAATGAAAATTGAGTAAACACTTTTAGTTAAGGGCCAATTTTCGAGAATATGTGTTTAGTAAGAGGCATTGCACTAATCAATACAAAAATATAATAAAGTAAAATTTCCTAATGAAGACAACTCTAATAAGCTCATTGTGAAGCGTCTTTTCGTAGCCTTTATAACTCGAGTGATTAAGCATGTAAGGGTTTAAAACCTGATGCCCTAAAATCGTCTGGCTTGAGAGTCATCGACCTAAAACATGCTACAGGAGTCATTTAGAAAGCTTAAGGGAGGGACGACCGCACAAAGAGTGGTTAAAGAATAAATAAAAAAAATCATTTTAAAGCTTGATTAAGCCTCGAACACCTATTTTAGAGGAGTAGGCCTTCGACAAGGGGTTAGTAACTTGGTTGATTCTTGGAGGTTGAAGCAATCAAAAATAGGAGAATCCACATTTACCGATATGTCGAACTGCAATTAGTGAATTCCAACCAAACTTTAGAGGTGTAAGAAATTAGTATTGGAAATCAACTTTAGGATACACTTGGGAAAGAGAAGAGAAAATAGTTTGGGGTGTGTGAATCCCACGAGCAGAGAAAGGAGATAATTGACTTCTAAGGGTGGGAGTTGAATCAACATACGAATGTTTGGCATTATATTCGATTCTTCACACACACAAGCACATGATCTGTAATGGGTGGGTAAGGAGTACCTTTTGCAAAATAGCTTTGAAGTAGTTCATAAACTCGATCTCGTATTTCAATGTTGAGCAGTAAAAACATATTATCCAACTAAATTATGCATTTGAATTCTTTGGCAGCATTTGTGTTTGTGTTTGGTAATTATTGATTATTGTTTGTGTTTGCTCGAGGACAAGCAAAGAACTAAGTTTGGGGGTGTTTGATGAGTGTAATTCACTCATTAAACTAACGACTTTATATCATAGGTTTTAAGTTGTTCTTGAACACTTTTGAATGTTTTGATGTGTGTGCTCATGTTGTTTTGCAGCTCAATCAACATTCGAAAAAACACCACAATTGGGAGCTTGTGATGAATCTAAAATGGTGATCATAAAATGGAGGCATGAAATAGAGATAAGAAAAGAGGATTGCAATGGGAAAGAAGCTTAGAAGATGAGCATTCAAGCGAGGAGCAGTTTGTTAGGCGCCATGGCGTCTAAACAACAAAAAGAGAATTTACAACAGTGAGCTGGGCGCCATGGCGCCCAGAGTAAAAAGAAGCAATAGAATAGCTGGCGTCGCAGAGCTAGACTTGTACGAGTGCCGGACCTCGCGACCTAGAAGAGTCCGAATTTTTGGATATTTTTCATCCCAAGATGTTCCCTAACCATCCAAAACTAGGAGATAATATAAATATCAAGACAAAAACCTAATGGGTAGCCCTTTTTCTGATATTTTCTCTGGGTGAAAAAAGCCTGCAATAGTTAAGATCCATTCAAGAGACAAGGAAGAGAAATTGAATTGCAGCAAGACTGACAACCAATTTAGGAAGAACAAGCGACTTAAATAAGTTTTTCTGAACCCTTCTTTATTCTTTCCCATGTTCTTTATCTTGTATTTTGACATGTCGATCGATTCAAGCATGAACTAAATTCGTAGATCTAGGGTTGATGTAACCTATTTGAGACGTGATTTGATTCTAACATAGTTATGTCTTTCAGTTTTCTAGAATTTATTTTTGTTATTTTGTGCTTAATGTTTTCAATTGCCTAATCAACAATTGAATGAACCGATGCTTTAAATTTGATGCTCGAGAGAGGAAAATTTAGTCATGATCTGGAACAACATAACCTAGATTTGTAGGTTTCGAGAGAAAGTTCAAATCTTTGAGGGGGTAAAACAAGAACCAAGAGCTTTAATAATCTTTATATGTTTAATTTGGAATAGAGATATTAGGGTCAAAATATAAAGATAAGTTCTATTGACGCTCGAGAGAGGGGATAAAATTAAATTTGGGTTTTTCCTTATAAATTGGGAAAATTCGATGGAAATGGCTATAGAAGTTGAGAACCTGTTGATAATATGGTGAAATCAATCCCTAGATATCCATAATTTGATTTGATTTTTAGAAATTGTCTCACTTTACTTGTATTCTTTATTCCATTTAAATTAGGTTATTATAAAAACATCATTTAAAACTTGGAATTGTCTAAATAAAGTGAAAATCAAAACAATCATAGTACTCAGTTGAATTTGAATATCAGTCATTGTGGGTTTGACACTTTTAAATTCTTTACTATATTACAAAACTTGACATCGTACACTTGCGGTTAAATCACGTTATATAATCGCGTGGCACCTGCGGCCTGAAAAACTCATATGCAGCTGAAACGTAAAACTTGCCTGAAGCTGTCCAATTGGATAGCACATCCCTTACAGCCTAAATAGTACGTTCAGGCCGTATAATCTGATCATGCACTTCCAGCAACTTTTTAATCAGTGAAAAGTTTTGTTTTCTAACCTTGTACCCCCAAATATCAATCCCACGAAGAAAAATCTGATTTACCCATTTAATTCAAAGTGTGTCTTTCTTGCTATGAATGTTTCAAAGAGCTTTAGCAAAAAGTGCCGTTTCAACTTTTTATATCCCTAAATCCAAGGCATCCTTCATGTTTTGGCAAGCAAATTCTACTCCAAGACACTCATTAGTGGTGAAGAAGGTGGAATGGTTGAATTTGCATGAAATGATAAATTTTAAGGTTTTGACTGATATTTTGTCAACTTTTTTGAGTGAATTTTTTTCCTCACTTCAGTGTTCATAAATTTTTTAAATAGTGTTTGTCATTTTTTTGAATAGGTTTGTGTTTGAGTTCGTTTTTCTTCTTTTTCATGTGTATAGTTTTTTGTGCTTAGGCTTGGGTCTGCTAGTAGTAGAGGTAGCGAAGGAGAAAGAAGATGGACAACAGCAGTTGTATTGACGGTAGAGCTGGTAGATGACGGTGATGGTAAATTGAAGTAAAATTGTTTGATATTTTGATTTGTGTGTTTGTTGGTGAATTGACTTAAAGATACTCGACAGTGTACAGAAAAAGGAAGGATAGTGGGTGTGTCACTTTTTTCCCGTCATTTTATTGAATAGATTTCAATGTTTTAATTTGTGTTTTTTTTTTTTTTTTTTTTTGAGTATTTGTCATTTTTTTTTGAATTATGTTGCTTTTTGGAATGTTTGTCACTTTTTGAATTTTTCTCACTTTTTTGAGTGTTTCTCATTTTTTTAAAAAAATTTTTATTGGTTTTTTTTTTTCTTTCTAGTTTTTGTTATCCTTTTCTATCACTTTTTTTAAATTTTTGTCACTTTTTTTAAGTAATAGACATCACTTTTTGATGAAAGTTATAGTCAGATTTTAATGGAGGAATTACTTGAAATTCCGTAAAGAAGGGGAAAGAGGCTTCCACCAATCCACGTACAAAGTAATTTCAAAATTGAAATTTACCTTCGCAAATGATTTTTTTAAAACCTAGTGTCGACCTCAAAATTTCCTAAAAATTCTTTCATATCCAATGTCTGATAGTTGAATACTGCTGATAATGATGCTACTGCTGCTTAGTTAAATCAAACCCATATAAAATTTCATCCTCATCAGTCATCAATCAGAAGCAGCACTTGTAAAAATCAATTCCATGGCGTCTGATGTATTGGAATTTTTGAATATTGCTGATAATGATGCTACTGCTGCTTAGTTAAATCAAACCCATATAAAATTTCATCCTCATCAGTCATCAATCAGAAGCAGCACTTGTAAAAATCAATTCCATGGCGTCTGATGTATTGGAATTTTTGAATATTGCTGATAATGATGCTACTGCTGCTTCGGTCGACGATGATCTTATAGTGCTATACTCAACACCCGCTTCAATCAAAAAGGGTACCAGCAAAATGAACCCTATTTCAGTTGAAGATTACCCTCTTAGAGCAAAGAGGGTCATTGATCTCTCCCAAGACTTCACGTATTATGATATTGGGAGTGATGATGATGAAGTGAAAGTTCTCGATTCATTCTCGAAAATCCGGAGAAAGATTTACAAGGGTGAATCGTCCAATCAAAAATCTGCAAAGGATGTAGAATCTGGGCTTCCTATGACGTTCGTGTGTGAAATCTGCGTGGATGAGAAGCCGACGAATGAGCTGTTTCGCGTTTTGGGGTGCACTCACTCTTACTGTTCAGAATGCATAGCGAAATATGTGGCATCCAAGTTGCAACAGAATACTACTATTATTACTTGCCCGGTTTTGGGCTGCAAGGGGGTCTTAGAGCCTCATCATTGTCGTTCAGTCTTGCCTAAGCAAGTGTTCGATATGTGGGGTGATGCGCTATGTGAGGCAGTGGTTTTGGCCTCTGAAAAGTTCTATTGCCCATTCAAAGATTGCTCGGCAATGCTGATTGATGACATGAGGGGACGGAATGAGGTTATTACGCAGTCGGAATGCCCAAATTGTAACAGGCTGTTTTGTGCGCAGTGTAAGGTTCCATGGCATTTGGGGATACAGTGTGCAGAATTTCAGAAGTTAAAGAAGGATGAGAGGAACAATGAGGATATAATGCTGATGAATCTTGCCAAGAGTAAGAAGTGGATGAGGTGTCCCAAATGCAGCTTCTATGTTGAGAAGTCTGAAGGCTGCTTGTTCATAACATGCAGGTTTGTTTAGTTTATTGCATTGCACTTTTACTTATATATCCAAGTAGATTTTTGCAGTTATAAACTCTTACTTTTTTCGTAAATGAATTGAATATGGTCCTGCCTTTATTGCTGGCAAAGGAACTTAAAATAATGAGAAGGAGAATAAGTGGTTGGGGGCATGTTGAATAAGAAAATTGTTGAGTAAGAAAATATAAAGAATGAAAATGCGAGCTCAGGCTGAATACACATGAGGCCAGTAAAGGCTTTATGCATAAAAGCTCGCAGGCAAAAAAGGGAGAACCATCTCCTTTGAATTCCACATTGGTAGAAACCGTTATTAAAGCACACGTGGTTAATTTTTTAAAGTGTGACTTCAAAATCAATAAATACAGGATATGTGATCTAGTGAAACGTGAATACATAATAGAATCAGTTAGAAACCCACCAATAAATAACTGCCACCTGTCATTTACTAAAAAACCCAATTACCCCAAGGTCTTCAAGGAAATCTATAAATAATCCCGCCCAAAAGAAGAAAGGCATTCAAAATCAAATATCTCCCTCCCAAATAGTCATTTCCTCTCTTGCTCCTTGCTGAGCATCAAGCATTGAGAATTTAGGAGGAGAAAATCTTGGTTAGGTAAAAGGAATTTGTTGATCATAATTTTGTGGTCAACAGGGTGTCAACCGGAAGAGGTTCCGGACATTAATTATCTTATAGGTCTTCTTTGGATACGGGCTTTGGTTACCTCAAAATAAATTTGTAATCAAATTATTACCTAAATGACCATATATACCAAGCATTTGTTCTTCCCCTTTTCTTGAACTTCAGTATGATCATAATGCAATTACATTAATGGGAGCCAGATTGATGGTGAGCTGTATTTGATAATACACTATACAGAGCAAGATTGATGCTTGTGGAAGGTTCGCAATGTACAATACGAATTAAATGTTCGCTGGAAGTTTGATGTAATGAGCTACTTCTCTTGTGATTATTGTCGGTATCTAAGCACAAATTTCTGTCTTGCAGCTTTCCATCTTTAATCTCTACTGCAGTCTATGTTATTGACTCTTATGGCATATGTGGACTGGTGAACACTAAGGAACAAGAAGTTAAAATCTTGTCCTGTGCACTGTATGATGTTCCGATTATTGTGTTCCAAACACTCCTATAGTATTTTTACTATCTTTTCAAATTTTAATTACCTTGTATGCATGAACACAGTGGGTATGGACTACTTATTATGTTCCAAAACTTTCAGCCTTCTGAATCAAAGCCAATTTTTCACTTTTTTCTGATGATATAGGTAGATGTACTTTTGTTTCAGTTGTTTTTTTATGAGTTCTCCATCTTTAATCCGAACTTTAATCAGAACATATGACTCTCAGTACTACTATTATAGTTGCCTTTTATTCAAGAAATGGAGTGGTCTATTATCTGCTTATTTGATCCGAAAACATTCCTTCCGAATTAAAAGTTAATTTTTTTACTATCTTCCTGTTGATTTTAGGTGTAAATATACCTTCTGCTACAACTGTGGAGCTCACCTGAAGTCACACTACTGCTCTAAGTGTAAGCATTGAGCCGAATATGATATCATAACCTTATTGTTTCTACATGTAAGTTGGTTTGAGGTGGTGCATTAGAATTATCCGGTGTAAATATTAGACGTTTGTGTAAAACTTTTACCTTGAAAAAAACATTAGCTTTACTCTGATTTTACTTAGATGCTCCCTTTTGACACTGTGAAAATTTGAAAGTCATAGGGGCAGGCATACTTTGAAGTGATGTATCCTATGGGATAGTTTATACATGTGAATTTATTGATTAAGAGGAAATTACGGTGTTTAATTTGTTTGAATTGTAGCTTTACTTTCTTTATCAACCAGATGCTTTATAATTTATGCTCTCTTCGTCATATTCTGTTATATTACTCGTATATATGTTGTGTGTGGGTACCATATATCTGAAGATATCATGATACAAAACAAAATACCTTAGGTCCAAAGCGTGGTGGGGCCATGTCAAAGATGCTAAAGACTCTAGAAAACAGGACATAACACGTGGTGTGCAGACATGTCTTGGGTTATCAATAATCTTGATATTCATCTTAAGAGGAGATTACGTATCTTAGGCAATTCTATTACTATTGAAGGATAAAATAATGTGGTTTCAGCCTGCTGCTGTATTGAGGATTATCATTGCAACAGACATATAATGTGTAATCTGATGTCTACTAATTGCAGTGGTTGGTTTCTATCAGTTCTTTCTTTGTCGAGACGAGAATTCTCCGTACCATAGTTATAAAACGGTAAAGAACTGTTCGTATTTCCAATCTCTTGGAATTCCATTCAAAGTCTCAAATCTCTGAAGATATTTCTACCAAACCAGATTCACTTTTTCCTATTGTCATGCGTCCAACAATCCTTTTTACTTCATAGTTCCTTTTCCAGTTGTGACTGAAATCTCTGTTGCAACATGGAAGCTCTCCTCTACCTCTATTATATTGTAATGTTTTTTTCTACTCAGTAGATGCCCGCACAGTAAAATAGATTTATAAAATCTGTTGATAAACTATAAGGTGAATTGATTATTACTACTCAATACATGTTTATTAATGTAATCACTTGTAACTATGCAATTGATTGAATTTTTGTTGTGTTATATTTGATTTCAGATTTTATAACTCTGATGAAATTGTCATTAGTTAATTATTTTGCAATTAGGGGATGGGTAAGGAAGATGATTAGTATTTTTTATTTTAAAACTAGGATCTATACACTGGATTAATTTAAGGGTTGTGCATGGTGTATATAAACTTATGTATAAAAGGGTGTACACCAAGCTTTATCCTTAATTTAATTTGAGGGTGTGAGTGTGCACGTATTTCCAGCTTGTTCAACCACTGGACCGGAGACCCAAAAACCTACTTCATCCGGGTCAAGTTTAATTGATATGTTTTGATCGAACGTAATTAATATGAAACGTGTGAAATGGTTGTCGATAGTCATCTGCCACCCAACATAGAAAACATGCCTATAAAGTTTGTTTATTAGCATACCTCACTTGAAGGGAAAAAATACTTGCTGGAGGCTCTATCTTAGAGTATCATCTAATCTAATCCACTTTTCATCTTTCTTTAGTTGTGTACTTGGTGTATTGTATAAGTTGTGACATTGCAAGGCGGTATTTTTCTTTGGAGTATTGTTCATATATTGAACCCAATATCAGGATGGAAAAATGACACATGGGCCCTAACCTATATCTAAACCATAGGGATAAATACAATTCGATTTGTACGATTTTTGAACTATTTTAAACTAAATTGTTTAAATTTTAAATGGTTTGGGAAACTTAAACCCTTACCAAACCAAACCAAGCCAAAGCCAAACTAAATCAAAAAGCAAAAATAAAATTTTAAATCAAATCAAGCCAAATCATTTCCAGTTTGATTTGATTTTGAACCATGATTTTTAGCATAAAAATAACATTTTATAAACAAGTGAAAAAAGAAATATTATTTTTTGAAATTTAACAATAATGCTTAAATTGAAACTTTCTATAAAATTTTAGCAATATTAATATATATCTCAATACAAGCAAAAATCAATAAAATAATACAAGCTTCAACCATAAATTTAAGCTTTGATTTTCATTCTTCATATAAAAAAATATTATTATAAATAAATTATTATTTTCCTAAGAGCTAATAGAAGTTGACTAGCAAGTAATTGTTGAAGTATAAATTGATTTGACAAATTAAATATCTAAAGTAAAACAAGTATTATTTTTTTAATAAAATTGAGTGAATGGTTCAATTTCATTTCAAGTGATTTTTAACTATGACAACCTAAATTAAAGTGATTTTTAACTACGAAAAACTATATTAAATCATTTCCAAAAGGTTTTGTTTGGTGTGACAAGTGCTCAGGGGCGAAGCCATGAATTTTTTTTGCGGTGGACAAAATTTTTTAAATAAATTAATATACGAATAAAATTTATATGTAACAAAAAGTTAATAATATTACATTACCTATCAAAGTTGTTTATCGCAAATTTATAGCATAAAATTTATCAATAGTAAAATCTACATCTAATGTCATAATAAATTCTCATTCATTATAGAAATTAGAATGTATATAATAACCAAAAAAATCACCATCCATTTTGTTATGAATTATTGTCATGACATGTTTCATTTTCTTCCATTTTGAAAAATGCATAAAAAAAACAAAAAACATTTAAATATCCCTATAATCCAAAGACAAATGCATGAAGTAGTGAGTTGAATTCTTAAAAGCAACATTATAAAGAAAAGAAATAAAATTCAAGGGTGTTGAAAAAAGGATAATCACTTAGCTATCAAAATTATAAAAGGGTTGCATTCATGGACCAGTTTAAAGAATGATATTTCGATGAATCTAACATTATATTAAGAACGATATATATTATTTCTATTAACCCAAGAAACCCCACTATTGTGGTTGCTAAGAAAGTTAGAGATATTTGAACTATCAGATATAATTTAATGCCTATATAACGTAGCTCCTTTAATTGAATTGGAAGTAATCTTCAAATTAGGTTTTTATTTAAATATGTTTTTTGAGTTGTATGTTAAATCATAGAATGAATTCAAGAGTTATAAGATTATGAAAATACAATTATTAAAAATAAGGAGAACGATGAAAACAAGCTATTGCATTCTTAATCTCATACGTTTGCCTTTTCCTTGTTTACAACATAAAGGCTGTTTTCCAAAATACCAATGAAATAAATGGGGTTTTGAGTTTGGGCTAAAAAATAAAATTAAAAAAAAAGTCTATAATGACTGGATCGGACTAGTGAAATTAGGTTGTTGGGTGTTGGTGGGCTATGTACTTTTTTTTTTTTATGTTAAATCATAGAATGAATTCAAGAGTTATAAGATTATGAATATACAATTATTTAAAATAAGGAGAAAAATGAAAACAAGCTATTGCATTTTTAATCTCATAAGTTTGCATTTTCCTTCTTGACAACATAAAGGCTGTTCTCTAAAATACCAATGAAATAAATGGGTTTTTGAGTTTGGGCTAAAAAATAAAAAAATGATTTTAATAATTGGACTGGACTATAAAATTGGGTTGTTGGGTGTTGGTGGGCTATGAAAATTGGATTGTTAGTGGGCTATGTTTCTTTTTTTTTTTTTAATTCTTTATTTATTGGGATCTTAATATAACTCGTAGTTTAAAGATCACATTTCATAAATAACAAACTCATTAAAATATTTAAAAAATCAGGTGGTAAATAAATTTATTAAATATAAAATATAATATAATATACGTTAATTATTTCCACTCATGTCACCTTACTCATCCCATCCTATTACCCCACTACATCATATTCCCTTCACCTCTCTGCCAGAGATGGCCATTAGCTTCGACGATCACTCGGGCGGCATTTTCGACCATCACTTAGACGACTGTTTCGCGCGATCACTTCGACGCCCGCTTTGACTGCTATTTGGCTTTCCCTTCGGCAAATTGCTCCAATGACCACTCCGACGCTATGACCAACTTTGTATTCAGTGTAACTAACTGTGACCAAATTTGTATTCGATATGTTCGTCTATGATCAGGTCAATCTCAAGTCACAATTGATCACAATCAACACAAAATTGGTTACAAACAGTCACAACAAACACATATTCGATTGCATAGGGTCACCACAAACAAATCTACACACACCGCAAACCTGTGATTAACCATGCCAACTTTGTCTTCGGTGTGACTAACTGTGACCAAAATTTTATTCAGTGTGATTGTCTGTGACGAGGTCAATATCAAGTCACAACCGATCAAAGAACCATCATAGCCAACCACGAAACAATCACAGCTTACACCACCACCAGTGAACCAAATATGCACCACCTTACCAAATATGAACCACCTTATCATGACTACCAGCAACAGAATCATCATAGATCAGAAAATCATCGACACTGCAAAAATACCCACAACTATCCCAAAACTCTGGTTAAACAAAAGATGTGATAAAAAAATCACCCATCACTAAAAAATTGATAAAGCTATGCCAGTTCCATCTCCTTCATCACCAAATCCAACACCAAAACCAATTTTCTTTCCACCACCACCCGTGAGCTCATCTCCACCACCCAATCACTCACAGCCATCACCACCTTTAAGCTTACCATCGCTTTCAATATTATTAGCGGTCGATGATACTTCACTACGCCAAAAAGGGAGGTGGTTGGTTGGGTGGTGGTAGAGAGAGAGAGAGAGAGGATAGGGTGAAGAAAGAGGTAAGAAAATGAAAATATATGGGGCTTGGATTTGGGAAGGAAACGGTGATGGAATGGGCTTCATTGCGCCGAAAAGGGAGATGGTTGAGTGGGTGGTTGTAGAGAGAGAGTGTGGTGGGAAAATGAAAATATATGGAGCTTGGATTTGGGAAGTAAATGGGTGGAATGGGCGGTGGGTATGTAGGTTTAATTAAATTTTTATT